TACCTGCAACTCATGGTGATTTTTTTGAACTCAGGGAATGTAAAATACAGAATTCACACATTGGGATACAAAGTTGCACTTGGCCTTAACCACAGAAACTCACCACCAAAAGTTAGAATTAAAATCAGTTTGTCTCTCAGCACATATCCTCACCYATGTCCAAACATGAAAATGAAATTACCAAGGACCTAATCTCACTTTGACAGAAGTCAGTAGCAAAGCTCCTACTGACTTCAATAAGAGCAAAAGCCAGCACTAGGTCTCCAAAAATCATTATTATTTTCTTCAGAGCACCATATGCATTTCCTATCAGCCCACCGCAGAAGGATGACGGTCTCTCAGGTTTCCAATAACACTGCCTCATAGAGAAAGGCATCTCAGACCGCCAGTGCTAATCTAATGTCTATGACCACCTGAGGAATGCAGTTTGACTTCAGCATACAGCCCAAAGAAGAGGAAAGAATCAAGCCCTAGGGAAGACAAAAGAGGCATGCCTACAGTAATGACTCAGTGAAAACCTTGGAACCAACAGAAAAAAAAAAAAAAAATCTACTGTATTTTAAGGAGAACTTGCAAGAGTATCTACTCCTCTCTGCACAATAACAGTTTAAACACAGGGAATAATATTTATTTTTATATATACAAGGACTTCCATAGATATTTACCAGGACAAGTCTATCAGAAGTGACATACAAAGAAGAATTCTGATCACATGGAAAACTATATCCTGAAAGTGATGCAGAAATACATTTTGATCCTCCCTAGGGTAAAAAAGGAATAAAAGAGAAAACTCTATCACACAATTAAAAAACCTTGCTGTATGTTTACACAAGCACAGAAATTACAATTTGGTACGGCAGGAAAAATTAATGTCAGTGGCTTCTGAACTGAATATATTTATGAAAAAGAGATTAAAAAGTAGTTATGTAGTTAATAGTCCTTTTAACAATTAACGAAGAATTAACAAAGGTAACAAAACAGAATCTGGACTTTTCAAGTACCTTTTCTCTTGAAGTCATTTGGAAGCAGTCAGAGCAAGCATAAGTATTTAATCCACTGCATGGTGTGAAAGAAAAATAAGGATAMCTTCAGACACTCAGGCACTTCAGTCTCAACCATGGCATGGAGTTTGAAACCTAAGCCACAGAAAAGCCAGCAAGAATCTACTACTTATGCCCTCCTCTTAAGTGAGCTGCCAGCACACCTGGGAGCTGCTTGATGGAACAAGCTGTGAGCAGGGGGCAACAGAAGCTGGTTCCTATGGTATGGGCTGGAATTAAGTTAATTTGCCTTGCCACCTACACAGGAGAGACCAGCGGCACCTCAGTAGTTACAGGTGCTACTTATTGATCTCCAGATTAAGGCATTCTTCTAGCAAGATACACCTGGGACCTGAATCTGGGCTTTCCAATCTAATACCTGTTTACAAAGAAACCAACAGAGCGCAGAAGGATCATCAGCAGAAAAGGGAGGCTTTATTCACATTATTCACATTGCCTGTCATTCCCTTCCCAATGCAAAATGCACATGTTCAAAATTCACAAATAAAACTTTATAGAAATGCAACAGATGTCCAGTTCTATGTGCAACATTCTACTACATGTTTGGATCTCCATTTCAAAGCCAGTAACAAGCAGGAGCTCAGAAAAATAAAAAAAAAAAAAAGGCTACTGAAAAGCCACAGCAGAGACAATACAAACCATTAACGTATCTCCTTTGGAAAGGGAAAACACTAATACTTCAGTTACTGTTAATTTACCCATGCTACTGACAATGATCATCAGAGCATCATTATACTGCAATATTGCACATACCCAGTTTCTACTTTTCTGTATCAACAAATGACCATCACAGCACCGTGCTGAAACATCCTTCTGCACWGATGTAYTCTTTGTCTTGAGCCCTTGCACATTTTATGTGTCCTAACTTACATAACTGCAATATAAGTGCTCCTAGTTATCTTTCTTTGCCGAAYAAAATTGAAAAGAGAAAGCAGTTGCCGTTTCTTGAGCAGCTACTTCACTCAACATCACAAGTAGAAAGATAACTTAATTCCACACAGTTTTAATTGAAGCGAATTACTMAACAAGTTTTCCGTCCAAATATGARATATGGAAATCATRTGAAAAGGAATCCACAAGTAATTTGCAAGTACTCTATCGCCCTCTGCTGTCAATGTGTAAGTTTTGCAAAATGAACCTGGGCTTATTCCTTGCAAAGATCAGTAAAAGAACCTTTACAAGTAGAAACCCAGCAGCACTAATATTTTTTTATGACAATGTCTTACTTGTTGGAATCACAGGAACACAAGCAGAAACCCTTTCATACTTCATATAAATGYTCCACCAGTTCAGGATGTGGAAAAGTGTGTCAGATGAGTCAGATTCCTCAATGGTAATTCTAGTATTTATTCTCTTCGAACTTGACAGAAGTGTGCCATACCTATTCTATCATTATTTTCTGTTTGCTTTTAATAAATATCCAAAATACACCACACTTCCTAAAAGTTACATTAGCTGATCCATCAATGACAAAGAAGCATATTTTACTGTTCAGGTATTGCACTATTTTATTTAACACAACTTTTAACTTTAATAAGACATTTTGCTGAGATTTTTACAGCACTGTAGTGATTTCACCCTGGCTGGATGCCAGGTGATCACCAGAGTCGATTTTCTATCACTCCCTCTTCCTTTTTTTTCTCTCCTCTTTTAAACTGGAGAGGGGAGAAAAAACACAACASGTTAGGATAAGAGCAGAAAGATCATTCACCTATTACTATCACAGGCAAAATAGACGTGCCCTGGAGAAACAGACTAGATCCCTCATCAATGAAATCAGAGTAGGACAATGGAAAAGAAATGAAATATTTTAACAATTTAGTGTTTGAATTCTATTGCAAATAAAAGTTACTCACATTATGGCCAGCAGTCTCCTTCACTTTCTCGACATGTGAGAGGACTCGATGGAACAGCACGAAGCCGAGTCGAGCAAGGTTTAGGTCAAATATCAAGAAAAGGTGGTTAGGCAYGGGAACAGGCTCCCCAGGAAGTGGTCACAGCACTGAACTTGTCTGAGTTCACGAAGYGTTTGGACAATGCWCTCAGGCACATGGTGTGATACTTGAGGGGTCCTGTKYAGGGSCAGGAATTGGACTTTGTGATCTTCATGGGTCACTTCCAACCCAGAAGATTCTATAACTCTCTGACACTGAAAGCACTGCACGACAAAACTGCTTTCTATCCAAGCACCTATCACCAACGTAACTTACATCTGCATGAGGTTTTTTTTTTTTCTTCTCCTTGGATCGGTGAATAGAATATTTTTAAGCAAATAACAGATTTTACAGTATTTTTCTTCTCTTAAAAAAAAAAAACTTTTTACTTTATAAACAGCATATTGCCACTAAAATGCATATGAGAGCAATGAAGCCAAATCAATGTCCTTATAAAACAAGATTAAACTTTTGAAGATCCATTCTTCTGCCCTCAGCAGACGTTTGAAAGACTCTCATACCACAAATGTATTAACAGCATTTCGTGGTTTTCACAGAATAGGACTGGTTTGTGTTGGAAGGGACATTAGACGTCACCTGCTTSTCACCTGCTGCCATGGGCACTGACGCCATTCCCTAGGCCACGCTGCTCGGGGCGCTGTCCCGCCCGGCCTTGAACGCTTTCCTTTCACCGTGACCCTGTGTGTCCCGTTSAAAATAAGGGTTTGAAGCCCCTGTGGGAAGGGGAGTGGCATCTCGAGCGGATCACTGGTGCTGCCCTTCCCCCGGCAGTGTCGCCGGGCGCTCCCGGTCCCCGCGGCCGCGTTCCCCCGACAACGCCCCGCCCGCCGCCGCCGTTGCTGAGGGGCCGCGCGGTGTCCCGGGGCCGGGCCGGGCCGCACTCCGGGCTCCCTGCGAGCCCTCACCCCAGGCTGTGCCGCGGGAAGGGCAGGAGCGTGGCCGCCTGCGGTCCGGGTACAGCCCCTGCGCTGCTCACCGCACAGCGGGACCCCTCATCAGCCTCCGCCGGCGGGACCGGCTCCCTGGGAAAGCCAGGAGATAAGGCGGGGGTCTGAGCAGCCGCACCAGGACCCGCAGCAAGCACAGGACCAAAGGGAAGTGCCGGCCAGACCCGTGTACCAGGACAAGMGCCGGGTCAGCCACAGAGCCCAGCTCAACACCTCGGCCACCCCCGGCGAGCAGCTGCAGGTGCCACAGCTAAACTTGAGCCGCGACAAGGCTCCCGTCCGGCACAGGGGACAAGGCACAGCATGGAGGAGCCACAGGAACCAAAAGATGCCTACGAACCTGAGCATGGCCCTTATCAGCCACACGAACCGGGTTATGGTCTTGATCAGCCAGAATTCAGTCCATATGAGGATGAGATACCCGATCCCCAAGCCCGGATGCTGGCAATCCAGAATGCAAAAGCTTATTTGCTGAARACCAGCACAAAATCTGGCTTAAACTTGTAAGTCTGAAAAAGGATCACAAAAAGGGTAGGAAGCATGAGTGGAAAGAAAGGTAGTTAGAAAAAGGCCAAAGCATTGTTAAGAAAGGTAGGTATATGTAGAATGGGATAATGTTATACATGCAATATTTCATCACTAGTGATACTTGCATGTGTCCCATATCTTTCAGAACCAAAATTTCTAATGGAATTTTAYAGAGTGTTCAAAAAGAAATTTATTTGATAAAGAGTAAGTTTAAATTCAGCTCTGGCTCATAGATAGATGGGGTATATACAAGAAATGGAAGGTGGGACTGCTCCTAAGTATAATCAGACTAGTTTTAAGTCTAATTTCTCTCAGTGCTCCACAATCCCCTTTTTTCTATTCCAATGATTTCTCCAAAACTCCAGATGATTAGCCTTTTGTTATTAAAAGCATAATATTCCAAAACTTTTGTCTTATTGTTTTGTCAATAATATTTACATTTATATGACAGATATGATCATCTTGCTAGTGTAATAACAAAGATCCTAGATGAACAGCCCGAAAATACAGCAGACATAATTGAGAATATCAGCAAGGATGTGAAGTGGGCTCAGTTTCGGAAGAAAATGGACACTCTTCGAGACGAACATCTGATTCTTCCAACATATGAAGCTGCAGAAAAGTGTAAAGCTTTGTTTGTCAAGGACAACGGAGAAGAAGAGCATGAAGAAGTMGATGAAGAGATGGTGAGTTATTGGAGTGAAACAGACCAGGGAAGGGGTGGGCGGGTGGTGGGAAGGGAAAGGAGAGAGGGAGGAAATTGTGGTCCCTTTCTGTGGTGCTGCCTCTCATGACCACGTAAGTAATTGCAGTCAAAGTACCATGTACCCTCTTCGCAGCTCAGCTGGTCCCATATCTAGTTCTGAAGAAAAAAAAACATTTGGTTTCTTAGTTGAGTTTTTCCTGTAGTAAATATAATATCCTGAGCCATTAAAGTCAGAGATGTTCTAGAGGTGACAACCAGAATGTGAGGCTTATATAACATCTCCCATGTGCCTTTTCAGCATGAATTATTGCGTCCAAGTTTCTTTTTATAAAAGGGACATTCCCTTGCCTGAAGTGACTGTAAGTCTTSATACCAGTTAGACAGTATTATACACAGCTGCTACCTTAAAAYAGAGAATGCAGAATTTTGTGGTCCTTCCAGCTCCAGCTGTGTTTCCAGTCTGTCCTTCTCCAACTGAAACAAAACATGGTTTTAATGAAGAACCCATGCAACTGAAAAACCACTTCTTAAAACAGGGTTTTTCATTGTTCAGTTGCTTATATGCAGAAGCATTTGTACCCAAGGAAAAATTACAGTTCTTACAATGAAAATTATAATATAAATGAGAATTATAATAACCAAAGGAAATAAATCAAGAAGATGTTGATTTTCATATGAAATTACTAGTATATATTCAAATAAATTACCATTGAAGAGCATAAATACCAACAACAGAAGAGACAGTCCTTCATCTTTTCATAGCTTATTATGTATCTTACAGTAACAGTGTAGGATGGAAATGGAAAACAAGCTAGGGTATTTCAGAAACAAATTCTGAATTTTTCATTCTCCTGTCAATCTTGCATTGATATAAGAAACCTGTCAGATCCAAAGAAATTTCGTATGAAACTAGCACTAATTCTTCCAAATTCCCTATTCTATCATGTCCAACTTCTAATAACTCTGTGTKATATGATCACCTATGCCCCATTAAATGAGAGATGGGTGATAAAACAAATGAAAATACTTCATTACTGGCCTAGTTCTGCTTCCACTGAAGCCAGATGGAGTCTTACAATGTACTTCAGTAAGAGGAGGGGGTAATATTTTAAAAACTGCAAGGAGCTATATGCCAAGATCTTCAAATTAACAACATTCACCCCAGAGAAATGTTGCTGGTATAGTGCCTAAATATATAAGATCTGGATTATCTACGACACAAGGTGACACCATGTCACTGCRGGCATCAAGGCCTCTTAGCTGACATGCCCTAGCACTGAATCCTTTGTAGGTCTTGTGTAAAAATCCTGACTTTCTGTGTTTTGCAGTAATTAGGAGTTTGAATTTTGAAATCCTGTATTCTAAAAGGGGCAGTTCATCTATGTTCTCTTCTTTATCCCTAAAAGGCACTTTTAATTTTTCTAAATGTTAGTGAATGAATGTCTGCAAAGCACTTTGAGATAATGAGTGGCACTACAGGAAAGTGAAATATAATGTTCAGCAGATAATGTTTAATTTTCAGAATAGATAATTATACTTATTTTTAGCTCTAACTTTGAGTCTTCTTTCCTAGGGACCGCCTCCTCTACCAAATGTGATGGAAACAGCCTTTTATTTTGAACAGGCTGGAATTGGCCTGAACAAAGATGAATCCTATTGCATATTCCTTTCTCTTAAAAACCTAGTTAATGTTCAGCCAATCCTGACCTGTCGTTTCTGGGGCAAAATTTTGGGCCTGGAAATGAACTATATTATAGCTGAAACACAGGTACGTGAAGTGGAGGATCAAGAGGGGGGGGAAGCAGGACATGAAAGAGAAGAAATTTATGAAGAAGGAGAGAGAGAGATGGATGAAGGTGAAGAAGAAGGTGAGGAGAAAGAAAAACGAGATGAACCACCAAAGTCCACCTACAAACCCCCACCTGAGATCCCAAGAGAAGAAAATGGGGCTGGGACTAATAAATATGTCTACTTTGTCTGCAATGAGCCAGGCAAACCCTGGGTAAAGTTGCCTCCAGTGACACCAGCTCAGATTGTCTGTGCCAGGAAAATCAAGAAGTTCTTCACTGGTCGTCTGGATGCTCCTGTTGTGAGCTTTCCTCCTTTTCCAGGAAATGAGGCCAATTACCTGCGTGCRCAGATAGCTCGGATCTCAGCAGGAACCCATGTCTCTCCCACTGGATTTTACCAGTTTGCAAATGAGGATGAAGAAGAAGAAGAAGGAGATGCATATGAAGAAAACCCTGATTTTGAGCCTCCTCCTGTGGCTGAGATGCTGGAGTCTCTCGCCGCGTGGGCACACCATGTAAAGATCATTTTAAAGCAGGTGTGTGCCAGCATAGCTCACATGGACCTTGGATACCATTCCCACTGCAGTGCTTGTGGGGTTACAGAATGTGAATGACACTCCTCATCTACACATGCAAACTATTCACCAGAAATTGTATTGGACTGAAATCTTTTTAKACAGACAATATATTTTATATCATGTCTAATACCTAAATGTCTTACCCATAAAACATACATTTTATATGGTATATAAGATGTAAATATCTTGTATATACTATATAAGTTTACCTATTTTACATAAATTTACATATACCATATATTTTTATGTATCTATATATATCTATTTAGGAACCTTCTAGGTTTAGTATTTTTTCCAGTGATGYGTTCTTGAAATTGAAGCATATCTTTAAATAACAGTATGGAGTTAGCACCTGATAGGTCACAATTATTTCTTGCAATCTTCTGTATTAGGTTTTATGCTCTGAGATCCTTACTTGGCAAAAATATTTAAAATTCTCTTTTTTTCAGTAAGATGCTAAAAAGCAGATAGCATATGCTTGTATGTTAAATGGAACTGTTTGTTATTTTCTTCTGGTTTATTTTTTYGTTTTATACTTTCTGCTGTGAAATATGCAAATGAAAAGGCTTTAAAGCATGTTCTATCAGACTTGTGCTAGAAAAAGGTAATRCTCATTTGATTTTCATTGCTGGATGGTTTGAAGGCCAGTCTACCAATTCAAGAATGATAGTGTAAAATAATAGCAAATTAAGGAGGAAATAAGGTTTAAACTTACTGCCAGCAAAACAATAGTTGTAAATAGTAAAATTTATATGCATTAGAATCTTAAGARCATTCTGTTATGTTCCTCTGTTGGCTAAATAACAATGCGTGTTTTAAAAAGRAGGTGTAAAGTCCATAGCTTGCAGTGAGTGGCAATCTAGCAAGGATATAAACAAAACTGGTCAGGAACTGAAGAATAGAAAATGACAGAAAGCTGATGACAGAGGTATAAGGTTATTCTCCAGTAGTAAGCAGGGATGAGGAGGGAGTTAGGGGAGCATTCCGCCAAGAGGATACAATATTCGCTTAACAGTTTACCACTTATGGAACACGTATTTTTATTCTCTCCATCCCTTAACTCTGTGTGTGTGTGTGTGTGTGTGTGTGTGTGTGTGTGTGTGAGAGCCAATTGTTCTAACTAGTTTTAGCTTGCATATATTACATTCCTACATCAATTATAGGGTCGTTGTGTTTGGATTAATCCTCAAAAATTAGACGAAAATGCAGAAGAAGAAGAGGAAGAGGAGGAAGAGAAAGATGAGGAGGGAGAAGGGCATCAGGAAGAAACAGGACCACCACTGCTTACTCTAATCTCTGAAGATGCAGGTATTCTTCATGGAATATGAAGTTTTTGAYTGAGAGACACTAGGAATGTTGTCATTTAGCAGTAAATATTTGAAGTTACAGAACTMTGGCATTCCTTGAAGTGATATTGAAGCAATATAGTTTGCCTSTGTAGGGTAAGCACATTCTTTCACAAAGTCAGTCAATAGCAAAATGGTTAATAGATTCGACATTAAAATTGAAATAATCAGGTTTACTAGGTAACCCTCTTGTTGAGATTAAAAGGAGAAAATAACTCAGACTTGTCAGGTTATTACAAGTTCAGGACAGCCCACTACATTAAATACATTCAGCTATTTTTATCTCATCTTCTTAGGAAAAMAGAAAAGTGTGTGCATATGTAAATGAGCAGAATAATTAGTATGTGCACACATGCACTGATACTCATTATTGGTATAAGAATTTCATTCTTTTATCATATCACTGTGGCAAATCATGGGAATAAGGAAGCCTGAATATTAGATTACATCAATATTAGATTATTTTCCTTCTCTCCATTCTTTAATCAAGGTGAAATACAGCTATATAATTTATCCATAAGTGATGAGAATTCCTTGACAAAAGAACCAGGGGTGAGTGCTACTGAATTCAGGATCATGATCTTTTCTGTATGTGGGGGGTCTATCAGCATTTCTGTGCTATCTACCCATACATCCAAATTTGAAAACAGTGCCTACACTTACTGTTTYTGACTTCTGGTTCTTCTGTCATGCAACTTAACATAAACCTTGCTTGAATTCTGTGGAAGTCTTGTAGCTCAGCCTAAAAAATATTTTGCAGAGGCTCGTTAAGTCCATTTACTCATAGATAGTGTGTGTTTGGCTGTCTCCAGGAATAAGAAACATCCCTGCTTGGACAGCTCAGGCTTCTACAAACCTGATCCCAGAATAYTGTATTGCAATCCTGCAGTCTAACCGATGGCCTGGAGCTTATGCCTTTGCATCTGGCAGGTGAGAGTCTAGCTGACATGGTGACAACACTGACTCTTACGTGCTGCACACAGGTACCTCTCTAAAGCAAGCATAGTTGCTTTATTATTAATTCATTGACTGACTTCTAACTGTTCCAGAGACTGAGGGAGAAGGCTACTTGAATATGCACAGCAACAGTAAATATGTAGTGAACACTGAAAACAAACAATCATTGGGAAGGCTGGCATGAAATTAATGGATGTAAATCCCCAGTKAGTGTTTGAGCATAGTCCTTGGTTTAAAACTCTGTCTGTGGGACTTTTTGCAAAACAAGCTACATTCTGTGGTTCTAATGTTTGTTTGTTTCCACTACACATGGTTATTACTTCCATGTGTATTTCCACGACACCCTCATTCCTCTACGTCCTTTTAAAAGGCCGCTGGAATTGGTGTCAGAACAGGCACACTGGGTTACCCGTGTGAAGTTGGAGTTATATTGCAATGCAGTGCCATGCCACTCCATCATTTTAAATAGAAGATGCGTTAATAACCATGAGAATAGTTAAAAAGAGGTTCTGTCTTTAAAATTTTTTGCCATAGGATGTCTGCAGCACAGTGATCTTTTGCACAGCAGAGTAAGGATGCCTGTCAGCATCTCTGCTAATATTTTGTCACGGGATGAATGTGTGACCTTTCACTTCTCTTTCTCAGGAAATTTGACAACATCTACTTTGGCTGGGGTCACAAATACAGTCCAGAAAACCACTCTCCTGCGCTGCCCCCGCCAGCGCAAGCAGAATACCCCATCGGGTCAGAAATCACTGAGACAGTAGACCCCACTGTGGAAGAGGAAATGGCTTTCAAAGCTGCACAGGAAGAAGCTTTAGCTGGAGATGATGAAGAGGAAGGTGAAGAGGATRAAGGGGATGATGAATAAACTATAGAAGAAAACAGATTGTTCTAGAAGTTTGAACATGAACAGTATTTTCACAACATAGTCCTTTATTTGCTGACCTCCAAAGAAATGCACTTGGAGCATGCCTTCTTTTTTTGATTTCTGTAGGCTTTTCTTTGCAGCTATCTTCCTCTCCTTCCCCACCCTTCAAACGCACCTGCACTGGCACGAAGCCTTTTTCTGTTTGTTTTACTATGCAAATGTAGTCTGCTTCCTAAAATGATACTCCTTCGAACTAAGAACTACCATCCACCAAATGTTCATACGGTTTTTCTAACYCTCACTTCAATACGTATATACATTTTACTTAAATAAATAAATTTTTAAAGTCATATGACAGTGTCAGTTTTATGTGTGAGAGCATGCTATTCAGATTGAGTAAGCAGTTTATTGACGTACTGGCTGAGTGCATGGTGATGATACTGCTCATCATTGGCACTAGARGGCTGCACCTCCCATCCTGTGCGCCGTTTTGGTCCCTTTTCCACATAATTTCATGATGTAGGACCAGCTTAGCGAGGTGCTGAAATAAAGTTACTCTTTGCCATGKTTTTGTGGTTGGTCCAGTTGCTTGCTGGTGTTGACTGACACAGGCACATTTCACACCACAATTTTTTACAGCTGCCATGAACAAAGGCAATACTCACATGGAAGTTGCTCCTGAAGGAGAAAAAAAAAAAAATCTTATCTATGAGGTCAAAGCACGTGGGGCATATGCCTATATCTGTCACACCCAGCTTTTCCAAATCCCGGCCTGTAGAAACCCTCGGTTTAACAAGGACTGACACTGATTCTGGTAACTAATACTGCCCTCTAGTGTGGGTTGTTTTAACCTCACTCTCAATGGCTTCCTTTTTTGGGGGTTAATAAATGCATTCAGAGTGCACTGATGAGCATCTCATCCCATGACTTCATCTAACTTCCAGAGGATAATTTTAAAATCTGGTTTTCACAAATCATTACTTATCTTTTTCCTACAAATTGCTTAAAAATATAAAGGAATGTTTAAATATAGGAATATTACTTTTAAAATTTTTATTTGGTTTTATGTCATGCATAGTCATTTTCAAAAGCTTACAGACCCACTGGATCAGCTTCAACAGGAATCTCTTCAGTGAACCTTGTGAGAGACAAGGGACTTCATACTTTCATATACTGAGCATTCTAACTCTGATCTGCCACAAATCACACAAAATTTAAAAAAAAAAAAAAACAAACATGCAGAGGTTAGCAACAGATAGAAACATTTTGCCAGAACCTTGGGACATCTTTAGGACACCATGAAGAGAAATCAGCATGTTGTCAGTCCAAGAGATTTCTGATAGTGCACATACTATAAAAAAGAACAAAGTTCTTCCAAATCAAAACACAGTCCAGCATCCTCAAAGCATTAGGAGCTGTTCATCTCTAACCATGCAATTCATCCCAWAAATAACACACCACATGGAYATACACAAACATCTCAATCTCCTTCAAAAAGAACACAGGTCATTTCAGGCAAAGCTGATTTTAATTTATTACAGAATTATCTTCTATCATTCATCTGGAATTTACTGTGGMATTTCAATCCATAATTGCATTAAAAGACAGCATTAATACAAYATCGAGTTAGYATGCTCAAGTRCTCCCAATCAASRAGTTGCAGAAATGTTAATTTASCCATATATTCTCYATCTTCMCTCCCAGGTARAAGGGATAGGACGAGAGGAAATTGAATGAAGTTGTGCTGGAAGGAAAAGCATTTTTTCCCATGAAAGATTTCCAGGTTTCTTCTCTACCCACAGCAATGTAACCTGACTGCACTGAGCCATGGGGAACATCACAAGGAGACCAGGAAATGCACTGGATTTATGAAAAATGCAGAAAATTTGCATGTTCTGTATCCCATACACTTCCCAAAGGATGCCAATGCACACGAGGCCACAGGGACACACCGTGTGCCAGGCGGGATTTGGTGTCACCCAGGTGCTCTGGGCCCCAGGGCTGGCAGGGCTCCATGCATAAGGGCAGCTGTCCCCATCCCCTTTCCCCACAGCCCTCCTGGCTCCATGGCACTCCCAAAGCTGAGCCCAGCATTCCAGATGCATCCTCAGCAGTGCCCACTACAGGGGCATTAGGGATGAGCTAAGCCATGGAATAAAGACATTTGTAGAGACTCCAAAGAAAAGGGAAAGGAAAGATCAAACTGAGCAGAAACTGAACAAGGGCACTGAACGGGAAAGCCTGGGATTCCTGGCCTAGGGGTGCTGATCTTCTGTATATGTCTCTGAAGGAAATTTCCCACAAACACTTGTGCACACCACAGGAATGCTACCAAATATTATTTACAAAACATTCAGAACCACCGGCTGCCCTTCAGCTTTCTACACCAAATCAGAATATGTCTGCTCTCCATGGTCAGTGGCTTTTTCTATACCTCCCCATTTCTGTGATGATCTTTCAGATCCACTTGATTATGCTACAAATTCTCTGTACTACTGCTTGTCCAGAGCAGTCTGAATATTGGACAGGAAAACTCAGAGACCACTTGTAGTTGCAAAAGTAGGACTTGCTGAATAACAGATAAACTTGAATGTTTATCTAAGAAAACCAGATTCCAAACATAGCAAACTTCAGATGCTTCTCTGAAAATCACAACCAGTTAAAGAAGCAAGTTTTATATATAAATCCTTCATGTTTCAACTGGCAGCTCAAAGCCAAATTCCTCTCCCTAACCCCAAAAACGCAATTACACAGAAGCATCAGAATTTCATGTAAAAATATAATTTTTAACTCAGGGATTTTTTTCCTAAGACTTTGCATGGACAGACAAAGCATTTCTAATTTTCTTGTAAATATACAAGTAGAAAACTCCTAGAGCAGTTTAGATAGAACAATTATTGAACTAGAGACATAGCTTCAGCTTGTGTGTTGGCAAATGATCATTTTCCCTGAACTGCTGCACAATTCCAGCACAGCAGTCTTTTTGGATGCAACGCTTCCCTTTCTTGCATGATTCCAGTGAGATTCCAGTCCTGCAACAGCTCAAAAATTTTCAATTTTCTTGTAACTTTTGTAGGAGTGCAATAAAAAATGCTTCTGTTTGTATTTGAGGTGTAGGTTACATCTGGAAAGAAAGAATAACTTCTTTTTGTGGGTGGAGAGGAGTAAGAACAATGCCATAGACAAGGATTAAATGAAAATTCCAATTTCAGTTCCCTCAAGTGGAAAAACAAATTTTCCTTGAAGATCTTCCATGAAACAATTTGTGCGGTCTTTATGACTTCAGGCTCTTAAAGAGTGACAGCTGAAGATTTCCATGATTGTTTGACCTGATCATGGAATTGGAGTTCTTCTTGAGTCCGTTGAAGCCTTAAATTCCATTCCAACCCAGGAAAGAAAATTTGGATCAAAAAGCTCATTCTCCAGCATACACTCTTCCCATTGAAATGTATCAACACCATAATAATTGGCCCAAAAAGAGACTCTCAAATTTGACAAGGACAAAAGAAAGTTGCTACCATGTATCATTGTCTCTTATCCTCACTGCATCTTCTGCAAGTCACCCTCTACAGCCCAGAGGGAGCATGGCCCTCATGTG